TGACTGGGTAAAGGGATACCCAGCTGGCTGGTAAAACATTATTTCTGGGTGTGTCTGTGAGGATGTTTGTAGAAGAGATTAGCATCTGAATTGGTGCACTGTGTAAAGAAGACCCACCCTCACCAGCGTGGGCACAGCATGCAAACCATGGAGGGCTCAGATAGAACACAGCGGTGGAGGAAGGGTGTTCGGTCTCTCTAGAACTGGGGCAACTGTCTCCTCCTGCCCTCAGACCCCAGGTTTTCCAGGTTCTCGGGTCTTTGTACTCTGGGACTTATATCATCAGCTCCCCTGGTTCTCAGGCCTTCGGACCCAGACTGAATTACACCATCGGCTTCTCTGGTTCTCCAGCCTGCAGACGGCAGATTGTGGGACTTCTTGGCTTCCATAATTGCATGAGCCAATTCCCATCATAAATCTCCTTTTAAATATCTATATCCATCCATCTATCTATCTTATCTTTCTGTCTATCAATCGATCACGTATCTATCTTATCTATTTGTCCTCTATCCTACCTGTCTTTCTGTCTTTCTCTTTATCAAACAATCATCTATCTGCGTATCTATCTATCTCCCACTGGTTCTGTTTCTTTGGGGAACCTGACTGATATCAGGGTTTTCTGAAATCCGACAGAAAGTTGTAGCAGTGGATATGGGCGGGCGCATCTCCTCCGCCAGGTGAAGCAAGCGTGTGAGATTCGGGTTCTCCTACTGCACTCATCTGGTTGCTGAGGGATGAAATTGTGCACAAGCAAATTGAAATTCACGTTATACTCAAATCGTTCCCTAATTTATAAATCGCGTTGGAACAAACTCTCATGTTTAAAACAACCGTTGTGGAGGAACTGGCTGTAGTTACCCACGGGAACTGGCACACACTAGAAGTCAGGGCATCTCCTACCAGGGAGCCCGTCCTTAAATGTTCCCAGCACAGCACACTGATTTTAAAGTACTTTATGCAGTGGTTGGAATATACTAAGTGCCTAATTAATGGTCAGAATTGACAACACTTTTCCCAACTGGAAGTCAAGTGGGATTTGCATGGAACAAGCTGAAACTAGAAGTAGACAAGACAACAGGTGCGGGAGCAGAGCAGCCAGCCCAGCAGAGCAGACAGAGGGGGATGGAAACTTCCAGAACACACCTGCCTCTACAGTCTCCTTCTGTGGGTGCAGGGACACTAAAGATCATATGTCACAAATCTTAGCATCTTTTGTGATTATTTTCAAGGGGGAATCAAACAGGGAATAATAACTAGCTCTAGTGTCACTTTAGTTACTTTGTGAAGGTAAACACTTTTTAAATCACACATTCACATTTCTAATTCTCCTGCTCACCCCCAGTGCACATATGGTATACTACAATGTGGTTGTTGGCAGGCCTAACTGGAATATTTGATAAGTGAGGTAGTAGGTGACATTTATAGAACAAAGTTTTTGAGGAAAAGCAAACTGTGCAAGTTTTGAAGGCGCTTGCCATCAGGTGTGAGGGCTGCGTCTTGTTCATACACCATCATGTACGACGGTGTAGCAAGACAGGCCTCCGTGGTTGGACATGGGGTCGCAAGAGGCTCCTGCTTCTGCCCAGAGAGCTCAGAGGAGGCATTGTTGACGAGGCGGTGCTTGGGTCTGGCCTTACACAAGAGGCGAGACTGCAAGAGACGGATATGGGGACGGTGTTGCAGGAGAAGCTGGGCTCCATGTGGAAAGGCGGCAGAGCGTGGAGTGTTGTCAAAGGACTGGAATGAGTGTGGCTTGGGCAGAGAGCTTTTGAAGGAGGCTCTCCCTACCTCCTGAAGACAGCACCCCAACAGCTGTCGAAACGGAGAGAATTCTATCAGTTCAGAAAGGCTTGTGACAGTTTCCTTTTTGCAGGAGTACTGTTAATAAATTATAGTCATATTAATAGCTCCCATCTACCAACCATTAGTTTAAGTGTTTTACTGGTATCATCTCATTTAATCCTTGCACCAAGGTGGAGAGTATCACTATCCCCTTTTATATGAGAAAGCTGCATTGAGGAGAGTTTAACTAACATGCCTAAGTTCAGACACCTACTGAGCTTCAGGTTAGGGTACAACCCCCAGACCAACTTCAGGGCCTGGGTTTAGCCATCTCACTACACCACCCCCCTCTCCACCAGGAGGTGCTGGAATGTGTGGGCAGCCGTCCTAACATTCACGGTCGGTTGCATTTCTTGCAAAGACACTATGAAGGCAAAACAATTTAAGTTCTATCACTGTTTTTCATATAAAAAGATGGACCGTTCTGGCATCAATATTAATTTAAGTTCTATCACTGTTTTTCATATAAAAAGATGGGCCGTTCTGGCATCAATATCTGGAGAAAATTACCTTTGTTCCCATATTTTATCAATGATAAAGGTCACTGAATTGTGCATATCCTAGTTCATTCCCTATAACTAATCACAGTTTAATTTACTCAAGACCTTTTAAGAGTGGGGGCTGTGGTGGTGAGAACAAGTGGGAAGAGGAACTCTGTAGGTGGGAGTGTAAATTGGTACAGCCATTATGGAGGGCAGTCTGGAGCATCCTCAAAAATCTGCAGATAGAACTGCCATGTGACCAGCAATCCCACCACCGGGCATATATCCAAAAGAAAGGAAATCAGTATGTCAAAGAGATTGCTTCAAAGTAATTTTTAAATGGGGCTGTGGGCTGAGGGTGTTGTGGGTAGTAGCTGTAGAGAGAGCCCACAGGGAGCTGCAGGCCAGAGGGTCGTCAGGAAGGACCAGCCCCCAGAAAGGAGTGCTCTGTGGGGTGTCTGGGCAGCCTCAGGAAGTGAAAGTGAACAGCGCGACTGTACACCCCTTGTGCCGATGCTGGGAGCTAGAACAGGGACGTCACCAGCAGAGCACCAAGCCCAGCTCCAGCAGATTTGTCACAATGGAATCTGTCCCAGAGCCACACAGGAACTTTTCAGGAGTGAATGGATACGGGACAGGGCTGTTGTTTCCAGTTGGTTCCACCCTCCAACATGAAATGGTTTTGGTTGATTTTCCCTAGTAATACTTTATACTTGGCCTGGTTGTTGGCAAGTGGCTGCCAGCACGTCTGTGCACTCCCTTGATTAGTTTCCACTGTGTGTTTTAATACAATGTTCCTTTTTCCAGTTTATTCAGGCCAACCCCATCTGCAAAGACACAGTTTAATACGAATTTCAGTCTAGGTGCTACAGTCTGAAAATGTACGAAAGACACTACAAAATATTGCTGAAAGGATCTTTTTCTGAATGCAAAGCAGACACCTAGTAAATCATTCTTGAATAGTTAAACAACCAAAGTTTACGTGCTCAAGTTTGGGGGATGCTCCAGTTTAAAGGCTTGGGTGTTGTTGTTGTATAAAGGCTTAGCCGCCATTGCACAGATGTGGGATTATTGAGAGCTGAGAATCCTGCAACCTCCTCAATCCCAGGCTTCTTCTGCTGCCCGGGCACTCAGGGGTGGGTGGTAATTAGAGTAATCGGAGGGTTCAGCTGCAAAGAATGCTTCCGTTGTTGGAGCTTGATTCCATGTGATTCGCCATGGAGGTCATATGGCATAGAAAATACCAAAGGTTTTCGGAGGCTCCTTCTGTGAGTAGTAAAAAGGTTTTGGAGTTAGGCAGACTCAAGCTACAAATGCAGTCCTGAGGGCTGAGTTATGAGAACATAAGCAAGTGACTCAGTCTTGAGCATCACTGTCCGCCCTGCACCTCCTTTTGAAGGTGATTCTGAGGACAATGCAACACAAGTAATATGTCAGACACTTTATCTAGTGAACAAAGTGCAGATATCATTTATTTTACAGGAATAAAAATACCAGAGGAAACCAAGTGTTATAAATTTAAAACAGTTCACCTGTTTCATTTCTTACTTTATAAAATTACATATAGAAATTTGTTATATGTATTTATACCGGTATTTTTATAAATGCAAACATGTTAGATCTCAAAATGCTACTTATTGATTTACAGATATAAATACATATACATATACCTAAAGGTATGCAGGTATCCCTCATTATATGGTATCTCATTATCTGAATTTGCTATCTGAACTCAAAACCAAAATGATTTGTAGAGAAAGAGGTACTTGTATATATGCATGCATATATAGTTTTTGTGTTATTGTTTGTTTTACAAAAGAAGGACATTATTTTATTTTCTGTAGCTCAATCAAAAGTACTTCCCAGAAATCTCACTAAATCAACTGGCATATTGTACTTAATTTCTCGTGCTGGCTACACAATACTTCACGGAGCACAGGTGCCATACTTTATGCAGCCATACCCCTACTGATGGCACTTATTTTTTTTTTTCCAGTTTTCTGATACCACAAACAATGCTGCAGTAAATATCCTCGTACTTACATCCAAATATTGAAGATTGTGCCATTCTCAATAACATTTCACTTTTAATCTCTAAATAGAATTTCAAATCCCATTTTCCATTTCCTCCAACCTAACCTTCCCCACACATACAAATCAGTCAACCTGGTTATTTACAGTAAGTATGTGTGTGTTTTGTTTGGTTGATTGGTTAGTTTTTGTTTCTTTGGTTTTGTTTTCTGTTTTTGTTTTGCTAGACCCTGGATGCTTCAGAACTTCTTTGTATTATTTCTTGAGTAAGTACTTGATGGTGGGGAGGCCCCATCAGTGTTTTGGAAAGTATCAGGGCTCCCTCACTGAAGAAAGCCCCAGGTGGGTTCTCTGGGAACTTCTGGGTTCTTTGGGGCTCACCTGAACCTCTTCCAATCTTAGTAACATTTTGGCCAAAAGTCAGCTTTATTGCATTGTTTTATTAAAGAATGC